TCTAACAGTAACATGAACCTGATCGGACCCATATGCACTGCATGGGCCCTGATTTCACGATTTCCGTCAGTGTTTGTAATTTTATTATTTCTGAAAATTTAATTTTATATAGAGGTCCATGAACTTCTTTTTTGTCACCACTAATTCGCTGATGTAAGATAAACGGTCTTACATCATTTCTTTTCATCATATAAAACACCCCGTATTATCTGCTCAACATATATAATACCCCGCATTAACTGTTCAACATACCTGGTAAATAATGAAAAAGAATAATATTTAAATAATAATAATACCGTTAAGTGCAAAAGGTAATATATGTCAAATTATCTGATTAGTACCTTATCTTGAAAGATTTTGATCCTAAATGTCTGTGGGTTCGATTATTTAACTAGATAACATCAACGTTAAATCACATTATGAGCCATGTAGCTCTCCCTCCAACTGAGAAACCTTGCCATTTTTACGTGTGTAGGAATTAGTCCGATGTTGATCGGCCACATCCGTGGATCAACCGATTTCAGTCGAAAGCTGGAACTCAAGATTTGATGAAGTCATCACCATGCTCTGTCAGATTGTCTTGAGCCAAAGCGCGTTAAAGTATTCCAGTGCCTCATTTGATCACATAATTATGTATATATTTTTGTAAAGCAAGTGTTCAGTGGAAATAGGAAGTGCTCATTTTTTTCCCCATAATATTATTCTGGATGAGTTCTGTAGAACGCCATTTCATCAACGTCACTAATCTTGGCGGACGAGTACATTTCTAGCTATGAAGTTTATATGGATCTTTTCATTCTTTTGAACTTTAATATAACCATTTCAGGGTTTGTTTTTTTTGTGGATTCACTTAATAAAAATCCAAGTTCCACTCAAACTTTCATTTATTACTTTTATAATGAAATCATGAAATCACTTGTTAAGTTTTACTAAACTTGTTGGTTTTACTTCTTTCTGTTGCTTAGTTTATGACCATAAAGTTGTAATAACTAATATTCTTATTTTTGTCTAGTTCACGCTTTGTTCTTTTCAGATCTGTTAAAAAATGCGTGACTGCCTCTCTTCATTTCCTCTCGAATGAACTTGTGCTCCACGTGGGAGTGGTGTTGTTATTAGATTAGTCACTAACAGAATTTGTCGAATGTACATCACTGTTTAGAGCACGCCCCCCCCCAATGAAATTACGAACGACTTCCTGACATATCTTAATTATAAACGGAATATTAAAACGTCGTAAACCTGACATATTTATTATTTTAAAGAACGGTTTATGCCAGATGTCTTTTTCTAACAAATCTTTGCCACACTTCCTTCCAAACTTTAGTAGTTAGATTGGAAGAATGGTGAAATTTATGATAAACTACGGCATCAGGGCTTTACTAACTTTTTACATGGTGCAAAATCAATCTGGCGTTTGGTCAGAATCAGCCCGTAATTTGGGCCGAATAAACCTCGTCCGAATTAACTATGGTCCGAATCAGCCCTGGCCGTCTCCACTCTGCTTCTCTTCATTTTCTTGTCACAAGGCAATACGTCTGTGGCAACCACATGACCTTCGTAATGAAGAGAAGCGTAGTGATGACATTCAGAGTATCAGACTTCCCAGTGTTCAGCGCTCACCAGGAATATGAATTCCAAGTGTTCAATGCCCTCAGGTAACGCGAATACAGCCATGTGCTTATTGCTCACTAGGAACACATGGAACATGAATTACCGACATATTTCTACGGCCACTGTGACATTCAACGCAGACCGCATTTCTATGCGTGTTATAGTACTAATATTAGTACCCTTAATTCTCAAACACAACAAAACAAGTCGAGGCTACGACATAGTAGCTATGCATGTTAAAGTGCCTTTCATATTTTATGACCGTGTATTTGTCGAGTTCATCTAGGACAAGTGAAAAAGTTCTGCGGAGATTGCGTTGTCATATATTTCAGTAGATGCATGGTTTGCGATTGTGCTAAACGTTATATGACCTAAGATACGAATTTCATAGTGTTGTTTGGCCTTCGTGGTCAACTAACAAACGCCGCTTGCTAGAAAGCAGGTTTTAACACAGTGCTTTTTTCTCCACATTCCACCTTTAAGTTTGTAATGTGATTCTGTGTTGTGTTTTGGGATCATGCATTATCCTTAATTTGATAAACCCGATGCAATATATGTTTAAAGAGGATATAAAGTAATACATGTATGCATACATACAATATATATATATATATATATATATATATAATAAACTGACGACGAACAGTGCGAAACTAGTAACTAACTAGCCTGAGCGCTTTCGACTCTCAATGAGTCTTTTTCAAAGGCACATACAAAACATACATACGACAAACACAAAAACGTTGTGTTTGTAAACCTCTACATGGCTGTCTCCACATGGGTTAAAACTATAAATACAACCAGCTTGTATAGATTAGTTGCGGATACTGAAAACGGTGTATAATTCCCTAAAAGTATACAAGCCAAAGCGACATCTATTTTTACTTTTTGTACATTTATGTAACGCAGATTATATCCCGGATATTTGATTCTATACCGGTTATTCTTATAGTAAAAATTGAAGGATACTAAGAATATTTAGAAAATTTTAAATTCTACTAGTGCACAGTTTTCATTTTCTAGTCTTTTTGGTTTAGACCGCTTGGTTTCAATGTTCTAAGGCGGCGTATCCAGTATGATTCCTTTTCCTTCCTGGTTTCGGAACTCCAGCTGTGGTTGTTAGCAATAGCGATAAGTATTATATCACTGAAAGTGTGGCATGGGGAGGAGAAGTGTTGTGCGACCGGGCTTCTGTACAGCTTTTATTGTCATCCAATTAGATCCATGAAGGATTATCCTTTTGTGTATCTTTTCAGTTTCTCCGACGTACTGAAGGCCACAGATCTAACATGTGATGAGATAAATCGCATTCTCTGTTTTGCACGTTTTGTTTGGACCATGTATGTTTAGTTTTTCTTTAGTCACTGTGCTAGTGAATGTCTTGGTCTCTATCATATGTTGACAGGTTTTGCATCTCTTATCGCCACAGGGTCCAGATTGACTTGGTTGGTTTTGACTAGCGATTGGCGCTAGCTTTGCCCTGACTAGGATGTCCTTTAGGTTTTTTGGTCTCCGGTAAGCTACTACAGGTTTGTTCGGAAGTATTAGGTTTAGTATGTCTGACGATTGCACGGTGGGCCAGTGGTTTGCGATGATTTTACCTACTTTGGGATTGTCTGGGTGATAGGTCAGAATAAATGGTATCCTATCAACCTTTTCTTTCTGTCCATATCTGAGTTGGTCATCACGGTTGGTTTGTTTGGCCCATTGGATTGCCTCCGCAATCAGGTCTTTGTCGTAGCCTCGGTAAATTAAATGTTTAGCTAGCTCTTCAGACCATTCTAGGAATCTTTCATCGTCGGAGCAAATTCTTCGTATCCTCAGTGCCTGGCTATATGGAATGTCCATAATGCAGTGTTTTGGATGACAGCTGGTTGGGAGGAGATACTGGTGTTTGTCGGTTGGTTTCGAGTAGATGTCTGTGTGTAATTTGTTTTCCACCAGTCTGGTTGTTGTGTCCAGGAAAACATGGTTTGAGTTGGAAATTTCTGCGTGAATACATACATACATACATACATACATACATACATACATACATACATACATACATACATACATACATACATACATACATACATACATACATACATACATACATACATACATACATACATACATACATACATACATACATACATACATACATACATACAAACTAATGAAGGAAGCAAGATAACCTGGTGGAAAGTTGAGAAATATAAAATCACTGAAGGTGTTACATTCGTTTTGACAAAGCAAAGGACAAAATGAAGTCAAGTTCAGAAAGATAAACAATATATTTTAAAAATGTATAACGATATGTTTTAAAGGTTGTTAGGCGTGGGGAAAAGTGACTATTAAAGTTGGATCATACGACACCCGGGGACATCCCTCATTTGGTTCAGATGGGATTCCATTCAACCATAATTATGACGAAAAGCACGGTTGCAGCCAGTGGGGATGATCAGTATTAGTAGATCATGGACCGAAGCCTTGGTTTGCAGACAAGATTAACTTATTTATAGTCTGAAGCCTTGGTTATCGACAAATTGAACTAAAGCATGAGCCAAGGCCTTGCTTATAGACAAGTTGAATTTAATCATGGGTTTACGACTTGGTTGTGGACAAGTTGAACTTAATCATAGTCCGAAGCCTTGGTTGTAGATTGTAGACAAAATGAACTTAATAATGGCCAGAAGTCTTGGTTGTAGACAAGTTGCACATAGTCATAAGCCGAAGCCTTGTTTGTAGACAAGTTGAACTTCATAAAGGGCCGAAGCCATTTGTTGTATACAAGCTGAATTTAGTCTTGGGTTGATGCGTTGGTTGTTGACAAGTTAAGCTTAAGTCACCTACATGCAATAAAAGTAATATTTCCATATCTTGTCTGAATACCGATAGGATTTAATGATACTGAAATGTATAACGCTGTTCATCAGTATGACATTTGTGCGTTGTGTAAAACTTGAGGGACATTGTGTCTGATTTTGATATATTTTTAAACGGTTTTAAAATCTTTAGTTCACTAAAAAATAATATGTATGAAAAAGAGATATTCCAGAGAATGTCTTTATTTGGTTTAGGTTAGTAGAAACAGAATTTATTAGATAAAAATATTCTAGAATGTATTAATTGTATTGTTTGAAAATTATATTATTTTATGTTTCACTTGAATGAGCACCTGTTTAAAAGAAAATGAAAGTGGTATTAACTTATTAAAAGGAAATGAATTAAACTGTCAAGTGCCTATCCAGACGAAAAAGTAATGTCGTTGGAGATTTTAATAACAGCTATGTGACATGCAAGTTGTGATTCTTTGAGACAATATAAATTTCATATTTTACCAGTTACATGAGCTCAATATCATTAAAGTTATGAGAAATACTCTAAATAACCGATCTACCGCTCAGGTGGTCTAGTGGTTAGAGCGTCTGCCTTGGATGCGGGAGGTCGCAGGTTCGAACCCGGTAGAGTCATACCACTCATAAAAATGATACTAACAGCTGGCTCGGTAGGCGCTCGGCATTAAGAGGTTAGTGTTAGGACTGGTCGACCTGGTGTCAGGATAACGTGACAAGGTGGGACATCATACTACATGTCTGCGACATGATGCCCCAGAGCTAGACATCACTATAAACTGCCACTGCAGACATCGTAGCGATATGAATAAATGCTAAAGTTACGTTAAAAATCCAAATCACACGCACACACACACCGATTCTGGTAGTGCTGCTTTACGAGCGAGGGACTGCGGAACCAGCGCGAATTAACCTACCTAAACTACTACGTATAATGTTTTTCTTTCATCAGGCAACTGCTTTTTTTTGTTATTATTGTTGCGTGAGACACCTGTGTGTTGATCAAGACGTCCAGGCACACTGTTTCAGAGATTACTCCAATATCAACCCATTTGTTTAATTAATATTTCAATCTGGCAGTTTCCCTCGTGCATGGGGAGAAAATAATATTTATTCAATACACAGAAAGGTGCTGTAAATGATGTCATCAATTACCGATAAGTTTCTCCCGTTTATATTCTAAACAAAGTATTTAAATGCGTCTTGAAAAGAAAAACAGATGGACATGCATGGTCGACAATTGAGTAATCGGCGAACTTATGAAAGGATTATGCTTCCCTAGTTAATATGTATATTTATAAGCCTGGCATTAGTTTCACTAAATATTTTATATTTCTTTGCTACTTACTGAAATTCTTATTTCTTGTTCTGTACTGAATATAAGACAGACGTTAGACATTAAAGTATAGACACAATATCCTGCATTTCACTGAAATTAGAATTGTTTAGTCTCTGTAGATAAATAGAGGATATCCTCAGTTTTGATGAAATCCTAGACTTGTTTTTCAAGAATAACTCCATGGTGTAAAAGTTAAAAAGGAATTTATATTTCGTCTTTTTCAAATTCTATCTATTTGCACAAAAATCCCAATATTGTTCGAAAGACGATAACTAAGAAATGCAAGATCTCAATTTATGGAACATTTTCTTTTAAAATTTGTTGAAACCGGGACCCGATGGCAGATTTTACTCTCTTTTCATCGGGTTTTTAAGACGTTTGATTCGATAGATCACTCAAAACGTATTAAATTTAGAGTGAAAAGGGTACCGGAATAAATGTTTCATTTATGATAGGACCAAAGTATAACAGTCTTTGTTCATGTGTTTCTATAATATAGAAACCTGGCAAGTTCTAATATAAGCACTCTGACTTGTAATTTATAATTAAACGATTTAAGTATGTTACGTATATGTGATTAAATTGCTTGTGTGTAAGGTTTAAAATTCTTTTTATTACATCTTTTTGTTTCATTATATTTAAATGCAAAGAATATTTTTCTCGGATTCGGGATTCTATTTTTAGTAGTGAGATATATTTTTAGCACAAAGTTTGTTTATTCAAGACGAAGATGCAATACGTGAGAATTAACATTTAGTTCGTCTTACTCTGGTATCAATATCAACAGGAAGTTAAAATGACTGGTCAGTATCACGGATATACTTTCTTTGCGTGATCACTGTTTGTAAACAACCTTTTGATGATTGGTTTGTAAGTGGAGTGGCATTGCCCTACGTGTGAAAATTAGCGTAGAGACCACACGACCAATCTCGCGAGACTTGAAGTGAAGTCTGGGGTTTTAAATACGCATTCCAGAGATTTTTTCAGACAGAGTCATTCAAAACCTTCAAGGAACAAGGTGTATTACCATTAATTTGTTGCCAGAATATTTTATTCTTCGTCTGAGTTTTGGATTCAATAATTTATTCTCCTTGACCCTCAACTAGTTGACTTTCTTACAAAAAATTCTGAAAGATATTCGTGGAAGTTTATTCTGGAATAATTCGGAAACAAAGACTGTAATTCAAGTGAGGAATTATTGTTATTCATACATTTGACCACATCTAACGTCATCACCTTTCATATGTGTACGTCGTCGGGACTCGAACCTGAATTCTTATAGGACTATTTAGTGATAGGACTTGCATTTTCATTCTTAGGACCAAATTTTGTATTATATTTAAGTACTCTTTACCAATTTTTACATTTTAGTCTAGAGAAATAATGTGTTTTGTTAAAATATACTAAGCTTGTTGGCTTTCACTCTTTCTTTGTTACTGAGTACGAGCCCTTGTTACGCAACAAGTATCAAACTAAGAGAGAGAGAGAGAGAGAGAGAGAGAGAGAGAGAGAGAGAGAGAGAGAGAGAGAGAGAGAGAGAGAGAGAGAGAGAGAGAGAGAGACTTTATTGCCAAATTGTATGCTGATGATGATGCTAATTGTGAAAATGCTGTGATAAAGCTACATTTTAAATTAGATTATCAGCGAATCTTTCGATGAAACATTGATAAATCTTCATAATACTAAAATAGTTAGTTTTAGAAATGGCAGTGGTGTATCAAACGTCCTATCAACACCTTTTTGTGTGTGTGTGAGAGAGAGAGAGAGAGAGAGAGAGAGAGAGAGAGAGAGAGAGAGAGAGAGAGAGAGAGAGAGAGAGAGAGAGAGAGAGAGAGAGAGAGAGAGAGAGAGAGAGAGAGAGAGAGAGAGAGAGAGAGCACACAATTCCCATTAAACAACTTTTCTTTTACTGGAAGGGGTCCAGAATTAAGTTGGGTTTTGGGGGTGGGTGGGGGGGGGGAGAGAAGCATTTATCAAGATTTGTTCAGTCTTAGGTACATAGATTATAAATTAAATTAATATAGGTATTAATGGGATTTATTGATACGATTCTTTTAAGAAAACAATGGTAAAATTTTAGATATTAAGAGTTTTTTTTAGTAAAATTAAACGGCATATGAGTTTCCTCATCCTCCAAGAATGCAATTGGATAATATCATTACATTCGTAAGCCGCACCACTTATACTAGTGCTTTTTCACGTTAAACGAACTGCAATACAAATGTGTTGGTTTAATCTTTAGCCTCGCTCTCTCATTCCCAGTGCAATAACCACAGCTGATTTAATATTTATCATAATTGGATGCATACTAATATCCAAGTATTACAGTGTTAATAATTAAACAGTCAAAAGAAATGACTAGAAAAATAATTTGCTTACGAAGCGACATTTTACATCAACTCGTATGTCCGACCCAGGTTTTATTCATTTTGTTAGTAACATCTTTTAAAATGTATGTGCACCTAAAGGCACGAGTGAGCACAAGTTATAGCAAAGTCGCCAGTAAAAACAACATATATTAAAATGTACGCCTCATTCTCACAGCTGAGTTGACCCGATACTAAGCAATAACTTCGTAAGGCAGTATCAATTTTCACAAATGGTCTAACCTTGTGTTATTGTTTTTTGAAACTATTGGAGATCATCGTGTCTCACTTTTTCCGATTCAAAGATCTTCAATGAACTAGAAGACAAAGACATACTGTAGTTTTATTATCGCTCAAATTATTTCAAAATGGCGTCGACTTTAGACAGATTAGTTTGTTAGTATGAAAAAACTATAGCATCGAATTCTGAAAGCTTGAAGTATCCGTAAAGGAAATGAACTGTCATCTGTCAGTGTTTCTCCTCTTTTTTGGCTGGTTCACAGGTGAGGTCTTAACGCATTTATTTGTGCACATTAAAAGCTGAAAATTCTATTGTAATTAGTGTAGGTTAGAAATGTGAAAGTTTAAGCACAACCCAGATTTTGACCAGATTATGATAATGCTACTGGTGGAAATGTTCCTTACAATGATAAATTACAAAAAAGAAGAAAAGAACAACTTGTCGTCCTTTTGCTGAGCTTCTGCTACCGATACTATATTCAACACATTTTATATTACAATTTTAAACAGCGCAATGACGCTAATAAGAACTTTCTGTATTAAAATAGGATTGAAATTTCAGGCTGTCAAATATAATGACAATGATATGATGATGAGGTGACGCTCTAATAACGCATGGTTGAGAGAGAGAGAGAGAGAGAGAGAGAGAGAGAGAGAGAGAGAGAGAGAGAGAGAGAGAGAGAGAGAGAGAGAGAGAGAGAGAGAGAGAGAGAGAGAGAGAGAGAGAGATATATCCGTAACTTAAGAAGTGTTAAATAGAAAATATAAGTCACCTTCCTTATACATTCGTGTTATAGTCTGAATGACTTCATTTCCAGACTCTTGTTTCTCCTTTCTCTTGAATCATTACATTCATCTAACTTTAGATAAAAAGATTATGCAGACGTTAGATTACAGAATACACATTTCAAGGTAAATGCACCGAAATAAAAGTGGCAATTCAGAATGGTGCCTTCGAAAAGTTTGAATAATGAGATCAAGAACTATTAAACAGCTTTAAAAGAAGCATTTTCCCCGTCTTTTTTTTCTACTCCAATTGTGTGGGGTTTTTTTTACCCTCAAAGGACTCCCGTCGTATGTTTTCTGCTTTATGTTAAATCTATTATTTCAGCGGAAGGAGAGGTTATATTCATTACAAACCTTCCAGCTACAGTGCAATTACACGAGGATACAGCGGTGTCTACGTCAGTCTTTTCGTTCCTGGTTTATCCAAGCTACAGCTCAACGTCGATTACCTCAGGGGCAAGCGGCAAGTTTACTATCACTGGAGGTAGGTTACTCATGGAAGCATTTATCTGAGCCAACAACAACAACAACATCAAAAACAACAACAGCAGCAGCAATAACAATAACAACAACAGCAATAATAATAATAATAATAATAATAATAATAATAATAATAATAATAATAATAATAATAATGGTGATTAAGAAAATCAATCTTCACTACTACTACTACTACTACTACTACTACTACTACTACTACTACTACTGCTACTACTACTTGTGTAAGTAATATGCTAATTTACAATTTATAGCGTATAATATATTATTTATGCGCTTTTTGGAAAATGTTCTATTTATATTGTGGTTTTCTTTTATTTGTTCTTTTACTGACATCTAGAAAGACCTGGGTAGTGGAACCCGACCTGGCAAGATGAAAGTTTTTTTTT